CTCTGACTGAAGGCAGTCGACCAATCGCAACAGACTGTCATTGGTCCAATCAGCGCAGATTAGCTTCGCGCTAAGGAGGGGGTTTGGGAACAAATGAATCACTGGACGATTCATACGGGAGTCGCTGGGATAATTAGGTAAAAAAAAATGCAGATTATAACACCATGAAAGTGTTTTTTGACCTTGCATGCATATTAGACTGTTGTTGGAGACCCTTACAACCAAGATATGACCCTATTTCATGTATAATATGGGCTCTTTAAGATTCTCTAAAATCATTCCACAGAAATCAGTAGATTTACAAAATTCTCTGCAGAAATAGTAAAAAAGTGTCCACAGATGTGTCTGGCCCTGCTAATAATGAATGACTAAACTAATAGGTTTTCGTAGATTAGATTAAATCAAAATTAGATTAAAATAGATTGGATCTTAATTCTCATGCTGTGTTCACACCAGACGAGGCACGCACAGAAAAAAGGTGCCATTCAATTGTTAATAGAACAATGCGTGAACAATGAGTTTACTCGCTTCATTCATGTGTCAAATTCATTCGCTCGTCAAATCCGCTTCACAATAGACGCGGCTGGGCTTCTGTCTGCCTGGTGACTGTAGCTTCGTTGCTAAATGGCTAACATGGATTTTATTGAAAGAATAACTGTGTTTATTCTTAATGGAGGCTGAAAAACAGCGCCGATTCGTTTGGAGCCGTGTCCGAGTTCACTAGATCCTTACAGAGGTGCAGCAGCTCTGTGAGCTCATAAGCTCCTCCAGAAACTAAACCTGGATGATGGAGGCTTTTAGCGGTGCCTTCGACTGAGCCGAGCCCAGTTTGATCAACTGTTGTGCGGTGTCGGCAGGAGACTTTCCCCCCGGGACAACAACAACAGGTGCTACATCATAAATACGCCCCAACAAGAGAACGCTCCTGATTGGTTAATGCGACACGAATGTCAGCTGAAGTTCTGTCTGCAAAACTATGTGCGTCAATCACGCAAAACACTCAACCCCAGCATCTTTAGCGCCAATCTCATCATTCGAGCCACCTCATTCACACATACCGCACCATAGGATGTAGGGATGCTCATTTCGGGTAATTTTGCTAACCGATAACCGCCGCTCATTAATCGGTTATTAACGGTTAACTGGTCAGATTACTATTAATTTTATATTAAACAAATTGACCGGTCTATTTTGTGTCCGACACATTAAATATTGATTTTTAAATACTGATTTATTTTTATATGTTAGCATATTAATAATAGAACAATACAACAGAGCATTTTCACGCACATGCAGTGTTTAGCACAGAAGAACAGAATAAACTAAATAAAATAAATAGGACTGCCCTAAATTATTTTCCACTTAAATAATTAATTTATATTACAAAACGAAAACATTGACTGATTATTTTTAATAACCGGCATAGGCTGTTTTTTTCCAATCATATTTTTGTCAAATAAAATCGCAGACTTCCTCAAATCGCTCGCTCCACGGAAAATATGCATTTATTTAATGCCCCGCTGTTATTATTATAATCACAAAACCTTTTACATTTTTAATAGAAATCATTATTTTAAAGATTATGTCTTGGTTTCCTCTCTCTCCCTCGCGG